TTACGTTTATAAGCTAACGTTCTAATTTCCAGAATTATTATTTACAAGTACAGAGGAACAACACAATCAACTTAAAACAAGTTTACTGATTGTACCAACTGAATCAGATAAAATAAGGCTTATTATTTAGTCCAAGATATCACGAATTCCCGGAGTAGTTCTGAATCTCCTTGAGAGATTATGAAGATATCTACTTTCCGCCCTTGAAGTTTCTTTGCTCCGGCATGAGCTTTAATAAAGGAATCTGCAAGCATTTTTAAAAGAATCAATTGAGTGTTCGGGTAAAAGTGAATACCATGTTAAAGCCCCTTTTGTTAAGGTTTCTCCGAATTTCTTTAGAAAAATCGATTCAATCTCGTTTGGAGCCAAATCGCTTCCCTTTGTAGCAGTGATGCACATTGTAATGTGCTCTTGCGGATACGATGATCCATCATATGTGGGAATATCCGGCATCTTAAATCTCTTTGGGATCAATTCCGGAGTTGCACTAGGTTTAAATGGCAATTGTATATATTTCTTTGAGTCCGGTCCCTTAAGGACCGGTGGTGCTCCCGGAATTTTATCCTTCCAAGCATGAAATTCTTTAGCATTTTGATCCATACGTGTATTTATCTGTCTCATACACTTCACGAGTTTAGCCATGAAAGGATCATATATGGTGTTTTCATTTTCGGATCCATTACCTGTACCGCTTGCCCGGTCATTATCCGATCTAAACCCCCCATTTGAAGATAACTTACCCGTTCCCAGAATCATTTGCATCGTTGGAACACCAAGAGAGGCTCGAACTCCACTATTTGAATTATTTGAAGCCGCTGATATTGCTTGTTGAAGTTCAGTCATTATCCGATCTTGTCTTGAGAGATGGTTCATAGTTTTCATTTGTTGCGCTCTCAAAACTTTCACGATATCGGCTACGGGCTTATCATCCAAATCATCAGGAGTAGGACTCCTCGCACGTTGAGCATTTCTTTCCACCTGGCAGCTTGGAGTTGATTGGTTCCCATCATGGTGAGTTACACCAGTCGAATCGTCTTGTTGATATCCACTGCGTACACGATGCAAATTGCCCACAGACTCGTTGTTGTTGTTTTGACCAGTGTTGAGCGGATTGTTGTCATCATTGTGTGCCATTGCTATAATATGCTTACTAAAATGATAAAACTTTTAAGATTAACACATTAAAATAATACCACAATTGTCTATGCCCCATGACGGGCGCCAAACCATTTACCTGTAAAAAGGTACAATTGAATTTGTATACGTGGTTAATAGACATGTGGATTAAGATGATCTGATTAGCAAAACTATAAATGAAAAGTAGCAAAATACAAGATACTTAAAGAATAAACAAGCCTGAATTTCTGATGAAGTTCACCGGAGGGAAGTTAATAACGAAGCTCGGACAAATATTTTTGTATAGAACTATGAAAATGCAAAAAAGAAAGTTTATTCTTGATGATTCTTCTGGATCGTGTCCTTACAATGAGTACAAATGCCTCTATCTATAGCTAGATTTAGAGAGACAAGATCGTCAAATTTCACCCTCTTAAAGATAAATAAAAATTCCTCTTATTGGTTGCGTAACCCTGGGAATAAATGTCGAGATCTTCTGTAATGGTAATTTCCTTTAACTGGTATCTTGTTTTTAAATTCATTCCTCTGGGCCTTGCTTCCCCGAAATCTATTTTATATAATACCGGTCACATGACTTTATCCGGTATTATTTGGCTGCTGACACACCTCCATCCCATCACCATTGCCACGCGTATGCTCGTGAGGTTTGCACATGTGAACTCTAAATTTTATTCAATACACAAATCTATCACTGTTGCATTGTCGCGTGCTTGGACGTGAAAGATTGTCCCTATCATAATCTCTACAACCAGCTGCATTTTCTTCTCTTGTTTGTGTTGAGTGCTTGTTTTTCTTTTTGTGTTGAGTGCTTGTTCTGACGGGGATTTTCATGGATTATAAAGGAAGTTTTCACAAGAACTGCATTCTTGAGAGAGTCTTAATTATTAATTTCATTGCCTGAAATAATGGAATAGTTATGACTTATGAGAAACTCAAGTCATGAAAATCAAACGGGATCACTATTACTACTACTTCTTCTTCATGTTACATTTGGTTACTCTAGTTAATCTACATTTTAACTATGCATGAATATTGGCCAGTATCGTATCACGAATAACAAATATCATTTTACATATCACTGGCAAATTTTGCAAGACTGTAGTATGAATCTAGACCAAATGGCGCCTTTTCGAGCCTAATTAGGTTAAGAGCCCGTTTGGACATAAAAAAATAATCACTTTTTTTTCGAATTTTTTCACTTTTTTTCGAAATCAGTGTTTGGCAATAAAATTTTTAATTTTCACTTGAAGATGAATTTTGAAATTTTCTGAAAATTTGAAAAACTCCAAAAAACTATTTTTCAAAATTTTCACTCAGATCACTCACAAAACTTCAAAAACAACCCAAAATTATATTCATGTCCAAACACATCTAATTTTTAAATACCATTTTCACTTGAAAAAAACTTCACTTTTTTTTTTGGAATTTTATAATTCTTATGTCCAAACGCCCACTAATACTTCATTCCGCTAATACAGAAGAGTAATAGACGAAAAGAAGAAAGAAAAGTTATCTTGAAGAACAATACCACGAACCTCTTATCGAAATATCGTTTATCTTTTTATCCTTCGTAACATTTTAAGTTGGACAAAATTGTAAATGCAAATAAAATTTATTTTTACAAAACCCAAAATATGGCCAAAAAAAAAAGAAAGAAAGAAGAAGAGAACAAGTGGGAAACTCCCTTTTCAATTAATATATCCCTAACAAACACGATTGTCGTTGGTTTAAAAAAGAAAAAGGCCAAATACATATGCAACCCCTTAAACTTGCCCATTTTTTCCATTTAGACACCTGTATTAAAGGTGGTACCTATTGAACACTTAGGGGTCGTTTGGTAGGAGGTATAAGAATAATGCTGAATAGAGTGTATTAGTAATGCTGGTATTAGTAATGCTGGCATTAGTAATGCTGGCATTAGTTATGCTGACATTAGTTATGCTGACATTAGTTATGCTGACATTAGTTATGCTGAGATTATTTTTTATCCACTGTTTGGTTTGATGTATTAAAACATAGCATATTTTTTTTTAAAATTGGGTGTTTACAAAAGTATCCTCCATAATTTTTTAACTTTAGCTATAAAAATTAACTTTATACATAACAGAAGAAGAAAGGTTGGGGCTCTTTTAAGTGATCTATTAACGTATATGGATCAGTACCAAAATAATAATGAAAAAAATAAATAAATTAGTACTATCAAAGAATCAAGCTATAACAAGTTTACTTTCTTTTCTTTTTTTAACAAAAGGCAAACCGATAAAATTGATAGTCGATAGTCCAACCAAAATTGAAGATTTATAGGTTCCATGGTAAATCGTAGCACCTGCATTTCCCAATTCCAAGCCTGGTAGCATTCTAACTAACCTAAGATTAAGATATTAAATTACTTCATGTAAGGAAGAATTTATATCACATAACCAAAACAACCTCAAAAGAGATCAGCCACATTGGCTACCAACTCCTTGATTATAACATTGTAAAACTTCTGAATGTCAAAAAGCATTCTTCCGTCATCCTTTGTGACAAAGTTTATAGCAACACCCTTCCTTCCAAAATGTCCACATAACGAGTGTACTTTTGATGCTCCCTATGTTGCTGAATGAAGTGAATTTAGATAAAGTTATGACGTTATTCAACACTAGATGTTTCACACTCTTGGGCTACATTCTGTGCATAATAATCACTTGTTTGGAACGATAACATGGCCTGTCACATGGAAGTTGGTGGCCTCTTGCTCTTTGACTTCCAACCTCCTCAAGCAAATAAGAATATATAGCTCTAAAATGGAATAATCTGCATCAACAAATTGAGAATCATGTTATTTTCAGTGATTTATTCTTGGCAGTGGCCAAGTTGTGGAGAGAAATTTATCACTTCTTCCGTCACAAACAACTTATCAAATTATAGAAAAATTACCAATGAAAAGTAAGATTGGAGAGAAACAAAAAAAGAAATTAAAGAACTGTCATAGCAGCTTTACATAATTACATCATAGAATCTCAAAAGTTAAACGACTACAAAGGGTTTGAAGAACTACTATAGCAGCTATATAATTACATATGTATTTAACATTTACATTGGAGTTGAGCTATTTAATAAACATTAGTTACACAAAAAATCTAGATTCCTCCTGCCCGTACCAATAACCAGAAGTATAAAAAAATGGCAATATCGTCAAACTTTGAAGTTGTTAGCCAAGCAAAAAACTATCAAACTAGTGCCACCACTTATATCCACGAGTTTACCATACTTTTAAAGTTTATCATTGACGAGCATCGACATCATTGTATGGCGCTCAAATTCACCCATACGTAAAAACAATTCCATCTTTTTGTCATCATCATAGAGAATCATTGAAGCTTTGATACGTTGCTCTATGGTGTACAACTCAAATACGGGAGATTCAAGGATAGAATATATCTGACCACGAATATTGAATCGGTCACGATCCCCAATCTTTTCAATCAAGGCACCCATTCTTTTGTCTTGACTTTCAGTAAAGTTTTTCATAAATTCCATCATACCTTTGAGAAATGTCTCATTATCATCCTCTACTGTTTTTTTTCTTTTCTTGCTTTTCTCTTTTTCGTTTACATTAGAAGAGGACCTTTTATCATACGCACCTTGTTTATGAGTTTGTTGGGATCCATGATATTCATTTTCAGATGCTCCGGCACTAGGTCCAGTTGCATTTTCAGCTCCAGTAAATGCGCTAGGTCCAGTGACATTTTCAGCTCCCGAAAATGAACTAAATTCAGTGGCATTTTCAGCTTCAGTAAATGCACTATATCCAGTGGTATTTTCAGCTTCTCTAGTAAATACTTTAGGGCTATGATAAGCGTTAGATTCTTCATCTTCATCAATATCGATAGGAAATCCCAAACTCATATCATTACAAACTTTTGGAGTTTGACTCTTTTGAATTTCCTCTGAAGCATCTAACGGCACTTCTGCGAACTCTCCAGTTACTCTATCCTTGCCAAAAATTTCCTCCCAATCCTCAAACATCGACCATTTCTTAGTATTCATATTTTTGGCTAGTGGGTCAATCTAGAAAATAATTAAAAAAATATAGCAATGTCATATTAGAAAAATACATATATAACATAACAAAATTGTAATAACTTATAGCAAAGTATTAGTTACCTTTATAAAGTCATCCCAAAATTTTGGATCGTCTACTATTATAGCTCCATCACTATATTGAAATCCCAAACCACTTCGATTTTTTAGCGAAGCTATACTTCCATAACATCTCTTCCAATATCTTATTTTATTTTTGATATGTGGATCACCTTTCAATCCGCTTTTAGGATGTTGTTAGCGTATGTAGCGCTCTAACTCCATCAAGTGCCCCGGCCTAAAGGTTCCATTATCAGCTCTCCAACCCTTAACACACAACTCTTTCAACCCATCTAAAAGAGTGTGTTCTTCTTCTGGATTCCACATCCTTCTTGTTGAAGATGTTGAGTTGCTTGATTTTTTTGACACCTTGTTTGAAGATGTTTGACTATTCATTTTGCCTGTAAAATCTTGTGAAATACATTACCAAGAAAATCAGGAAGAAGAACAAAACATTATAGTAGCTTCAGAAAGATTTCAATATATTAGAGATGCATTTTTATACTAATACACTTTACAATTATAGAAGAATGAGCAATTAAGCTCACAAACGTCAACTGATTCAACTAGTCTTCATTATAGATTAAAACATACGACATCAAGAGACGTAGAAAGTACATAAGGATGTGCAGTTAAGCTCACAAAAAAATTAGAAGTGTCTAGCAGCTATACAATTTATACTAGGCTAATTTAAAAGAGCTAATGAAGTCGAAAAAGTTTTATATAGCTAATAGGTTGTATTTTAGACCAATAAGCACTATACAGTGAAGTAGCATATTGCCAATGCTCTCAACTTCCATTTGAAACAGATAATTTTTTTTGTGAAAATTGATCAATTGTTAGATCTTGCATTCCACATTGATTGAGCCAACTCATCCCTCCAAGTGGTCCACTCCTGGGACGATTCAACAACATCAATATTTTCGTGTTGATACTCCATTTGTTCTTTCATATCAATGTCTAAGGGATCCACTTCCATCTCTCTGCGGATAAAGTTGTGAATCAAGCAACAAGCACTAATGATCCTGTTATGAACCTTAACTGAGTACCACAAAGAGCTTCTAAGAATTCCCCAGCGTCCTTTCAGCAGACCAAATGTCATTTCAATAACATTGCGAGCCCTAGCATGTCTCATATTGAAAAGCTCTTCTTTACATTGAGGCAATGGATTGTCACCTCGCCAATCCTTTAACCAATATCTATATCCTCGATAAGGTGAAAGAAAACCTTTTCCGTTCGTATATCCTCCATCGCACAAATAATAATTACCTATAATATAGAAATACAATTTAGTTACTTTCATATCTAATTCTTTTTGTGATGTAACTTGAAAGCATAGACATGGCATACCCTCGTGGATTTTTAAACCATTCCTTCTTGTTACAGCATCTCGTAATACATGACCGTCGGCAGCTGAACCTTCCCAACCAGGTAACACATAAGTAAAATTGAGGTTTCTATCACAAACTCCCAATACATTAGTTGCTATCTCTCCCTTCCTTGTCCTGTATCTTGGTTTGTACTGGGATGGAACTCTAATTTGTATATAAGTATCATCTAGTGCACCTAAACAACCCTATAAGATGAATTATAGTGTTATCTCAAAATATAAAAAAATCTTTGTAAAACTATAAAAACTGCATTTAGTTAGTTTTATACATAAATTAGTAGATGCCAAACTGAATTTTGACCTACCTTAAACCATTTCAATCGATCTTCAACCTCATCCTCAAGCACCGGTTTAGGATCAACAAGTAACAATGGAGTTAGTTTGAGAATAGCACTCAAACATTCATTAAAAGCCTGACTTACGCTCCATTCCGATCTAATATAATCAACCTTGATAGATCTATTCTTCTCATGATGAGCCAAGATATTTAAAAACATTGCTAACTTTTCGCTACTTGACATACTTTTACTATCGGTCAAACCTCCAATATCCTTAGTTAAGATAACTAAAGTGTGAAAGGCATTTCTATCCATTCTTAATTTATCGATACATATACTATCATTGTTGTTTATGATAGAATGTAAGTGAGAAATAATTTTCGGTACTCGAACACTCATACAATATCTAATCTCCCGCCTGTTTCGACATCGTCTTCTTAGAGAATGACCATGACTAGCCATGAAAAGGCAAATAAGGACAACAAGAAATTGCTGGCACATTATCTCCTCAAGGATAATATATTCAGTACTTGATAGTGGTTGAAGATCCATAATAACACCTAATTTTCCATCAACAATGAAAAGAATGAATACACATAAATTTGATACTATGCTATTTGGTAGAGAAATAACTATACCCAACTTGTAAAATTGGGGTAGAAAGAGAAAACAATGAGTAAAGAACAAATCATTTCAAAAGGAAGCACCGGGAATGAAATTACCAGAAAATAAGAACCAATTTTACAAAATACCTCAAATAGTAGTTCTTGAATATAGAAACACACCCCAAATAAACAAAGAAACCAGTAGTTAGTGTCTTCACTCCATGAGTCATTCAAAAGGAGGGGGGAGAACAAAATTATTGAATATCCTTTTACCTGTACACGTTACTTTGATCTCTGAAGAGGAAAATGAAGAAGAAGAGGATTTGGCTGCATTCAACTGTGCTTTTCCATGGCCAAAGCGTACAGAGGAAATCTGTTTGCTAATAATATGAGGAAAGACTTTTATTAGGGATTTGAGGGGGGCAATTAAGTCTTTAATCATGTTTATGCAAGCATTAAAAACCCTTGCATTACTAATGTCATGGTTTCAAATGCATTGCTTATACATAGCATAATACCAAGTATAATGTATAACTAATACAAGTATTAGTTATACAAAGGTTGAAAAAATATACCAAACAAGGTATTAGTAATGCACAGAGCTAATGCTTGCATTATTTTTTCTAATACCTCCTACCAAACGACCCCTTAATCTTAATATAAAATGTGTCTATTGAATACAAATTTGACAATGCTAAACGAAGCTAAGCGTGTGTATGTCACTTGCCATTGACATGGCAAGCAATACCAATTAAAAAATAACACGTGTTAAATCTTAAAAGAAAATGAGAGAGTTATGGCCCTTCTAACTCCTCATCGTCTTCCCCGACAGAGCCTGCATCTCCTCTACAGTCAATCCCCCTCCACAGTCAATACAAAATGTGCTTTAATAATATACCCAGTGAATAACCAAAGAGAAAAAATAGTAAAAAAATTGTAGCATCTCCCCAAGTTGAACAATCGAATCAAATTAAAATTGAATCTAGCATTAACATCAGCAACTGCTAGAACAACATCCCGAGCTGCTTCTACAGCAGCAAATGCGTACATTTACTATCTAATGTTGTCGAAGTATTGTAAATCGGTGATTTTTCAAGTGCAACTAAATGTTTGCTGGATTGCCTTTGTAATTTGTGGCTACCATCAATAGAGCTTCAAAGAAGCATTTCCTTTCTTTATTACCTTCTGGATATTAGATCTGTTTGTTCCTTCGTCTGACTTTGAAGAATTGTTCGTTGTTATTCATTTTTATTCCAAGGATTTTTCCCCCATATGGAGGAATTATTAAACTGGTTGAAGAAAATTATTCTTTCTTATGATTTTGATGAATCGACCGGTAAAAAAGGAAAAGATCAATGAATATTCATTTTCCGGCTAAGTTCCATAGTTTCCGGCAGATAGATGTTTTGTACTGGGATTTAGAGCTATGCCACGCTCCTAGAAGCTGTGTTATGCACACATTGTGCCACCTCAACAACTTGTGTCTGATAGGTACATATTTTTAGAGGTCAAGTGTTCAATGGGTACCACCTTTACGACAAGTATCTAAATGAAAAAAATGGACAAGATTAAGGGGCTACATAGGTATTTGGACAAAGAAAAAAGAATGGAAAATTTAATATTTAGTATTACCTTAGGTTCAAAAGAAAAAGAAGAAGAAGAGATAATAAGAGGAAACTATTATTTAATATCATTCATCAACCTAATTTTTTTTTGGTATTCTTAAATTACTCCCTCCGATCTACGATAAGTGACCAATTTGCTTTGGGCATACCCATTAAGGAAATACTAAATTCTAGATGAAAATAGTTAGTGTGACTAAACTATCCTTCATTAAATGTTGCACCATAATTATAGTACTCCCTCCGGTCCACAATAGATGACCAATTTGCTTTGGACATACCCATTAAGAAAATACTAAATTCTAGACAAAAATAGTTAGTATCACTAAACTACCATTAATTAAATGTTGCAGCATAGTTAATGTGAGGAGTAAAAAACTTTTTAGGGATACGTACATGAGGATAATTTTGGAAAAACAAATTGAATTGTTTCTTGGTTATATAAATGGACACTTATTTTGGATCAAAATAAAAAAGTAAATTTTTCACTTATTGTGGACTGGAAGGATTAGAATTTTAAAACTAAAATCATAAATCTCTTAAATCTTATGTGTGAATATTGAAACTGGGAAGGTAGAATGATAATTTTAAATTTGGAGTGATGAAACTATAAAACTAGAACAAATTTATAATTGAATATATTAATGGATGATTGAAAAGTTTTATGGGGTAGTTTTTTGGTTTATTGATTTAGGCGCACAAAATCAACATTTATCATTTTTAGGAACATATACTTTTATTTTACAAATCAAACAAAATATTTTAATATAATATTTTAATATTCTTTTATCCATAGAGATAGTGTACACGCGCATAAGACTAGTAAGCTAAAAACTGCTTTCGCTCTTAAAAAGATTATATATATTAACTAGAAATGCTGGAGATGCAGAACCTATGCAATGGGATGGGAACTATTGTCCGAGCAAAAGTGACGCAAGAGTATAACTTCAAGTCCTGAAAACATCACACTTTCTGCTGCTTTTTCTCTTCGTTCTGCATCATTTGGAGTACATTTCGTTTTTCCCTATCTGGATCTTGTAAGTACCGAGAGATAGATTTAAGTGGCTAGTCAATCAAAGTATAATGCTCTCCATCGATAATAATTGCTCACGCATAATAAGAATAACGACCCGTTTGGATATAGATTCCTAAATATTTTTTGAAAAAGCTGATTTGGGTGAAGTTTGATTTGAAATTAAAAATGTGTTTCGACATGAATTTTGGGAAAAATTTTGACATGTTAAAAAGTCCTTTCCTCTTTTTTTTTTTGTTGCTAAAAAGTCCTAAATAATCATGATTTGACCCACAAAGAGGTCTTAAGCTATATTTGGGATCTAAAGTTTTGGTTTTCAAAATCTCCCAAAAACTAAATTAATTCTATAAACAAACACATATTTGAACTTTTTTTTAAAGAAAAAAACACTTCCAAAACTTATGGACAAATGCCTACTAAACCTCATGCGAATATCTACAAGATATTCCCGTCTCATGAAATATTCTGATGCTAGAGACAATCTTGATTGCAACATAACCACAATCTCTAATCTATATCTATTAACGTTTTAGGGTTGTCTGAGAAAAGCAAGTCGACTTCAGAAGAACCACCCAATTTAGACACATTCTGGTCGTTGGGTAAAAAACTTCACCAAAAAGAGAAGGAAAAGATCTCATCATCATTTCACAGAGACGGGGCCGATAAACCTTCAAGTTTCATCATGCAAAAGTAATTGGAAGGAGCAATAACTCCAGCCTTAGTACACAAATCAATAACAACAGGAGCTGGCCGTAATAGTTCCGCCCGTCATCTAGGAGTAATGGAGGGTCTTGGGATCGGCCCTACCATACAATTTTTAGAGGAACCAAATGATCCATTTCTTCCTTCTTCCAAAAGTGACTTCCTCGCCAACTTTCAAACTCAAATACGCCACAAAGACTAGCCTTATGTCCAGAAGGTCCTATATGAACTTCTGACAATGTTCACAAACTTTTGCTGGATAACCCAACAATCACCTCTGAACTCCAAACCTTAGTACTTCCTATGCTTTCAATGTTTATCTTCCCAACAACATCAAATCATCATCAGACAGAGAGTCAGCTTGAAAAGGAACACTTGAGGGCAAACTATTTCCGCTGGAATGCGATCAGAGTCGAATTTTTCTTGATGATTGATAACATTCTGAAACATAGTTCGGAAATGAAATGCCTCTACTGGGGCTAGAATATCATTCAAGCTTCCTCTAATCCACTCATGAGCCTGATTCTTAGAACGATGCTGGTAACCATGATAAGTTCGTATTAGATGACCATTGTCAACAATATATACTTCTGGACAATAACTGCAACAAAATAATCCTTTTGGAGGTTAGAAGTCGTCTCGTCCAAATATCACTTTTGTTTCATTACCATTGAAAGAAAAATAGCGTGCCAAACACAATTGTATCTCATGGTGTCGCTTCTTATAATAAACATGCCAAAAAACAAGCCAAGTCTAAAAAAACATTAACACAACAATTGATCCTACTGATAAATAAAATCAATTTCTAGTCCTTATTAGAGCAATATTCAATAGGGAGGATTCTATCCAAAGCTAATATTGTTAGAAAAATATTATGAAGAAACAAGTGGAGACATCTCAATTTTGCCCTAGCTTCTAAAGAAAAGGATGTGACAAACATGGGAATGCCACAGATTTAACCACATCTTCAGTTCTAGAAATATCTACTTCCCAAGGTAGGGATAAGGTTTGCATACACATTATCGTCCTTAAATTTCACTTGTGGGATTACACTAGGTATGTTGTTGTTGTTCAGTTCTAGAAATCTGAATACTTTGCTAAGCCTCACTATCTCCAAAACCCATTAAAAACCCTAAGCTTGCACAATAGTGCATAATCAGGATCATCGCAAGAATCAGATTCATCATCACCGGAAAACCTACACTACGCTCCATCAGATGACGAAGATCACTCCTCTCCCAAGGTTCTTCTTTGTTCTTTTTCTTCTCCCCATTCCCATTTCATAAGTTTTGGTATTTTATGGAGAAAATCAAAATGGTCATCCTTGATATATACCCTTGAATTTGGTCTGAAATCCTAATTCTAACAGAGGTTTAACAGTTTTTTCTTGAAAACCCTTCTGAAAAAACGAAAACCACTATCTGTTTCAAGGGTTAAAATTTAATTCAAATTCCTCTTCAGTAACAAAATCTCCAACCCCTAATTCAAGCTCTTTTCTCTCAGGGTCTTCAAAGAAAAATATTTAATCTCTTCTTGAAGTCATCAGCATCGGCAGATCCCCATGTCTTTTCTTTAATATTTTTTGCCAAATTTTCTTATCAGTTTCTGGAATATGCTATTTCATTGTCGATTACAAGGACCTAATTACATTGAGTGTTTTTCATCTTTGATTATTATTTATGTTTGAAAATACAAATTTCTTTGTTATTGCAGTTTCTATTTCAAGACCCACTTACAAATCTATTCAAGTTTCTCGTTTTATGTAATTTCCCACTTGATGCTAATTTATTAAAAAAGATAAATATTATTACAAAATTTTCCTTTTAAGGAAGAATTAAGTGGTTAAAAATTCTGATTTTATTTGAATTTTAATACTTTCTTGCTTTGATTACAAGTCTTATCAATTTATTTATTTCTCTGATTAGGGATGTTAAATTAACTGAAATTGAGAAATTTATTTCTTGTTCATTAACTATCTGAAAAAATATTTGTTTCTAATATTTATTTATGTGTATATTTCATCAACAACGATTTAATAATATACGAGAAGATACAGAAAGAGCTCCCTTGCGTGCAGATTAAGTTACATGCATGTAAAACAATA